TATATATATATATATATATATATATATATGACTTCTTAGGGAAATTTTAAAACAAAACTTTAGGACTTTTCCTATAGTTAAATTCCGGGGGAGGGGGGGTTGCATGAGTTCAGAAATTGAAAATAGACTTGTCGGTATGTCAGAATTAACCAATTCCATGTCATATGTTTGTTTGTATATATATAATATCGAATTGTATATATATATTAAATAAAAAAGGCAATTTCTAATGTAATGTTCCAAAACAGATCATACGAATTAAAGATGAAGAACGACAATGCAATCAGATGAACATCTACTTTTAGGGACATAATAGCCGGAAAATGAAATAATGGTTATGTTCCTATAACTTGAAATTTTAAATGTGAATTATGTTTAAGGGTCTAATGATATTCTTTTCTTTTTTCTTTCAGATTTATCGGACATTTGGGCGATTTTGATCCCTCTTAATGAAATACCCTTATATATAATCCGTCTTAATGAAACACCCTTATATAATCCATCTTAATGAAATATCCTTATATATAATCCGTCTTAATGAAACACCCTTTAGAACTCCATAACTATCTGTACGTCGGCGAGGGCATCAATAGCAGAATTGCAGTGAATAATTGATTCATGCATTGAAATACTACAGAACACTCCTTGACATCTTCTACGTAGATCCCATCAAAACAACGCGATGGGAGGCAACATCCAAGAAGAAGAAATGTGCCCTTTATAAAGGGTGTTCGAATAAATTGAAGCGATTTTAAATGCGAATTAAGTTTAAGCGTCTAATGATTTTTTTCTTTTTCTTTCAGATTTGGCGGACATTTGGGCGATATTATTTTTCATACATAATTGCCATGACTTAAATAACATGATCCAATAGAGAATTAAATAAATTTTCACTAATAACACTGATTTATTAACTTCTGACATTGATCCGTCTTAATGAAACACCCTTTACATTGCTGTATAATGAAATGTTTCAACGTATTTAAAAAATCGGGACGTATTATCAATGCCTATTGTAGAGACACAAAACATATTTGAATGAAAGAAAAAAAAGAATAAAAAGAGCATTGGAAGGAATGATGAAAATAAAAAAAAGAAATAAAGATAAACCTGACTCAGAAGACAAAATAAAATATAAATTCAGTGACCAAAATGGAACTCAACAAGTAACAGAAATTTCGTAGCAGAAATTTTATTCTAAATGGCGTCAAAATGATGCTTTGATTGCTAAAGACCAAGGTGATAATGAAGCGATGAGATATTTGCTCCTAATATGTGGCAGTTCTAAGTAAATAAACTGATAGGTAACTCTTCACCGATTTGTGAGCAAAACCGTCCAAATTTCAACGGAAAGAAGCTGTTAAAACTACAATTAATCTCAACATTGAACCAAATCAGTATTTATCTCCCCATCTTTCTCTTTTCTCTCTATGTCTTCCTCTCTCTTTCTCTCTCTCTCTCTCTCTCTCTCTCTCTCTCTCTCTCTCTCTCTACAGGTAATAGATCCGTTGGTATATAATACGGGTGGATCCTAGTAATATAACAGACGATGATACTGATGATAGCCGTGTGAAGAACGGGTTAAAATAGACTATACCTATGTTGGGCAATTTTTATTCCATTAATGAATATATATATATATATATATATATATATATATATATATATATAGAGAGAGAGAGAGAGAGAGAGAGAGAGAGAGAGAGAGAGAGAGAAAGAGAGAGAGATAGATAAATAAATAGATAGTGGGAGAGAGATGGGAGGGAAAGAGATAGAGGGAAAAGAGAAAGATAGATAAATACTGGTTTGGTTCAATATATATATATATATATATATATATATATATATATATGAAGTGAACACTCAGAGGCGACAGATTATTATATGCTAAAAGCAAAAATCATGCCTGATGATTGCCTTTAGCATGAAACAGTCTGTCGCCTCTGAGTGATGACGTGAATGTTCACTTTTATATTTACGTCCACTCTATCTCTGATAATGCGCATATATCCCATAAATATAGCATAACTTATACATCATACAGGGAGAGGAAATGAATGAAAAGATTTTAGAAGGAACAAGAAACCTAAACAGGAAACGAGGGATAAATATCTACTCCAGTTCAAAATGTCGACGAGGCGCGCGAAATCGACGGTATGCAAACCCATTCCCCCTCTGTAGAGATATCGTCTGTTTTTATGTTGTTTAATACTGTACTAAATAACATGGGAATTAGATGATAACTGTAGACATGAGCACTGAAACAAGAACAGTCTACCCTACTGATTAAATAAAGTGTTCAGTTTGTAAATCCATGTAGATCAAACAGGTCTAAATAAACCTAAGGAAGGCCTGAGGGCACAACGGCCGAATATTTGTGATAAAAATAACAAATAGGAGAACACTAGTCTGAATATGAATAGTGTATATAATATTGGGTTTAATTTCCTAATATCTCAGTAGTATATTTCCCGGAATGTTTGGAGTTTACTTTGTAAATGTCTGCTGATACATTTTTAAAACCCCTTCGAAATACTGTATAATACTTAAGCATCTTATCTTGCACCAAATCAGTTCAACTAGATAATTGCTAGTTAAACCCTTCAAGGTGACTTTGTATCAGTGTAAGTTAAAAAAACAAAATAACGTTTGGTCAGTTCCCCCTTGTACTTAGATGGGAGTACCGCTTGGGAACACCTACTACTGTAAGCCGACCAATACCACCGGGGTAAACTTCCATTTTGGCACCTCGAGGCGGTGTAATGGTTAGCAAGTTTTTCTCGCGAGAACATTTACGACTGAATAGTGAGTTCGATCCTCACTTGTGCCCCATATTTTCGGCCTTGTGCCACATCTAATCTACGCTTGGAAAAAAACTAATCAGTTCCTCCTCAAGATGTCATCGACTATTTTGAGTACCTTAGTTTCTCATCTTGTGTCAAAATAATCTTTTGTTACAATCTATACAGAGAATTAGTTTGATGTGAGAGTGTCTCAGACAGAAAAATGTGTGCAAACTTTGTTAAGAGAATTCAATAAAATAAAATAAAAATAAATTAAACAATGTAGTAATCAAGCATACATGTTTTAATGGGTACAGGAAAGAATTATTATGAAAAATCCATGAGATGATGACGCTTACTTTTCAATTTTCATTTTGCCTGCCTTACTTCCGCAGTAATTACGCAATCACAGGAAAAGAAATTATTAAAATTAACGATGACGTTTACTTATTCTTTAATCATTTTTATATATCAAAGCTAAGCTTATTTAGACAAATACATTTCCTTTTATGATTGTATAGTATTTGGCGCCATAAGATTTTCCAGGTGACTGCCTCAATCCACAAATTCTTGGTGGATTATTAGCAACACCCAATTCTGCGTCTTCATTCGATACAGAAAAAAAATAGGTGTCACGCCATGATAACATACGCGCATGCGTTAGCGCGCGCGCACAAACATACACACACACACAAACACATAAAATTTCCCTTAAAATTGTTCTTGATATTTAAAAAATGATATACTGTTTTGCTATATCATTATCTCTCGAACAAGAATATATATATATATATATATATATAGTCTTATTTTGATATACTAATTTTGAAGAAACATTACTGCTTTTTTTAGGTTTTTTTTTATAAAGAGATTTTATGGTAGAGTGCTTAACACTAAAGATAGAGATAGAGGGTTAATAGAATTAATTCGAAATAGTTTTTCACTTAGCTCATGTTTACTTTGAAGTTTCGTGGTTGCA